TATCACCAATTCTATAAATTATTTTTTGGAAATATAATATCGTTTAAAATACATTTTACCACTGAATAGAGACTACGTATAAAAAAGAGGACATTTTGACTTTTTATTTAAAAGAGCCCGGACAACAGAGGACACTCMTAAAAAGAGGACAAATCCTCGTAAAAGAGGACGTCTGGTCACCCTACGGCCCCCCCATGATTACGCCACTGCGTCAAAAATTTTTGAATTGTTAAGGTTAGATCGGTTCATTATTAGTATTTAAAAATAATTTCATTTTCATAATATTAGAAAACAGTATTCCCAATGATGCTATTGTCAATAGATGAGTTACCTATACTTTGACGAACTCATTCGTAATGTTTTTTCGTCTGTGTTGAACGAAATAATATGGCCAACAACTTTTAATCACTAATAATTATGAGAAAAAATATTCTATGCAGTACCTACTTAAAATACGTGTTTTTTGACTGGTTTTTTTTTCTGGCAGAATTTATACTAAAAAAAAGATTCATGTGGCGGAGTTTACAGTAAAAACAGATTCTTGTAGCGGAGATTACATGCACCCACGCAATTTATATCACCACTAGTGTTAAGTGATTTATATATAGACATGTACTGATAAGCATGCGCAATAGAAGTCATTCCTCGATTATGATGTATTCAAACACGTGATAGTATGCAGTTGCTCTTTTCATTGTATATATTATTATTATGATCTAAGGTCTTATATATATATATATATGTGGATGATAACAGCACAGAATAAATAAAAATATCTATAAATGCGCGTATCGCAAAAAACGATATTATAATAATAATTATTATATTATTATTTGACTAGGCCTTTTTTTTTGTATATTTTATTATTATTGAGTGTATTGTTGCAAAGGTATCCGTGCGCTGAACGTCGACACTGACGATCACGTCTTTTTGGGGAAGCCTCTTGCGTAAGGTTTTTTCGCGTTCGTATGTAAGTAATAAATTCCACGAGCTCTGTAAAAATATAAATAAGAACGTATTAAAAAATATCGAAATTATGCGTATGGACGAACTAAAATACAAGCTGTAGCGTCGTCAGAGCCGGCACTATTATTTGTAGTATAAGTATTGGTACCTACACACCCTTTACTTAGTAAATTTAGTTTTTTTAAACAAATAGTATACATAAACTTTTCAATTCCATGCTGGTGTCTCGAGCTTCGCATGTCGTGCTTAACTTTCACTCGCCCCCTGAGTGTGATTTACCAACTATCATGCTCGCTCCTCTTTTTTACTTCAATAACGCAGATCAACTTCAATATAGTTCTGAATTTTTGAATTTTTAAATATTGTTTATACTCAAATACTATATATTAATAAATACTAAATTTTGTACACATGTATTTTTAAAGCCATTTTTAAGGAATATTATTCTTATTCCTTAATATACAGGGCATAATAAGAAGACCTGACAAATGAATCAAATTTTATTTTAATTCATATTTTTAAATTTTTTCGTGTATAATATAATGGCATCATTTACGTCACATGTGTAATATTATAACATTTTTCATTTATATATTTCWATGCTGAAAATAAACAAATATCGGTTAAAAAAAGTTATTTAATTTGTCAAGACTTCCTGTTACACCATGTACCTATACATTTTATTATTTTAATAACTATCGTCAAAATTACTCGTTCAAATTTTAAACTAAGTTCATCAAAATTAAAAAAAAAMCGGTYGATTAAATAATTTCAGAAAAAAGGATAATTCTCATTAATTGAAATATATAAGTTTATTTTGCAACATGACACAAATCTTTTATCATTGAAAAAATCTCAAGAATTTGAAAAAATAGTCTTTAAGTATATATTTAAAAAATTMAAAAATACCTATAACTCTATATTTGCGAACTCGAAAATATTCGTGCAGTAAAAGGGTACGATTGTAAAAATAAAAATTTTCGTTCGTTGTGATATTCAGGCATAGGTGTTTGTGTATTCACCTATTATGTATACATTATAATATAAGGTACAGGTTATTTAGAAGGTAAACTACTTATTTTAGTTAAAAGTATTAATGTTTTTGGAAATATTTGTCATGCATAATTTCAAATTTGTACAAAAAGAGATTTTTTGAAAAATATTATAGTTATTTCTTACTATTATCGTTCATTATCATATTTTATCAAGTTTKTACCTAGCTGAATAATTGATTAAAACTCGTTGGAATTCCCAAAAAAATATTTTGCTTTGAAATATATATGACATTAAAGATGTCATTTTTTTCAACAAAATTGATTTGTAACTAAAATAATGGTATATAAAATAGTAAAATATTTTTTATTTGAAAAATTTGGTATTGTACAATGATAACGTGAGTTGTGTACCTAAACTAAAATATTATTTCCAAGTATTAATGTAATTTTTGAGAAAAACACGATTTTTTTACCTTTAAATGTTTAAATCACCTTTTAAAATTCCTATTTAAAATGCTCTTACTTGTGTGTCACGTGTTCACCCATCAAAACGTACTCAGACTCCGGAGGATTACAAAGGCCCAAGTTGAAGTAAAATCGATTGGAACACGGTATTGACCAGAACCCGACGTTGGAATTGATTGATTCGATGAAGTACGGTGTCACTTTGGTGTGATCGCACGACAACGTCTCTGTAAATTACGTAACTCGTTTAGTATCATGGGTAAGCATAAATACATTAGAAACGCAGGAAAACCTTCTTRTGACAAACCACCTATAAGACGGAATCTCCTCAAAACGGAAAATAGATAGCCCTGTATATTTTTGTCTATCAAACTGAAAAATCAGTTACTACCAAGCAATTCTATAATAAGGATAATATATTTCGATAATATATTGTAATATTATTACGTAGGTAGATATATAATTATTGTATAAAGTATAATTTTCGGTGTCAGTGTGCCACCGAAATGRCTTCCAACCATGATTGTCGATGTTTAAATGTTTTAAATATTTTACGAATACGTAAATGTTATTCTCAAACGGTTCCGGTATTATTCGACGACAACAATTCAATATAATAATTTTTATATATATATATATATACAATATTTATTTTGCGTAATATTATGCAATTTGAAAACAACTAGACCCATTTTCCATTAATATTAAGTAATATCATTTTTTATTTAAAATAATTTTTATAATTTACTTTGAATGTAAAATTAAAAAAAAACCATAATCACATTTTTAACAACGCCTTTTTCGAGACAGTTATTCTTTAAGTATACATCATGAACTATGAAGTGCAAAGCAAATTAAATTGTCGAAAAACGGGAGTTATTTGGACAGTCATTTTCTCTTTGTAAAACGATAGTCAAATGATTAATTAACTATAGTTTTCATTTTAAGTATAAAAAGTATATTATGTATATTGTATACCTTGTTCCTAAATACCATACATATATCAGCTATCATAAAAAGTATGAGTAGACTWTTCAAATTAGATGAATTTAATTGAATGATTCAATAGTGGTTGTTTTAACTATCATAATAATTACATTTATACAACTAGTATTGTAGTTATTACTATCGATTTCTAAAATTGTTAAATTGTGTTATATATTATTCAACAGATAATTTTAAAAACACGTTTTACTTAAATTATAAACAGGAAATATACATTATACATATATTCCGTATGGTATAGGTAATAAATCA